TGCAGTATTATGAAATCGAGCTGCAATTGACTTTTTGCTCTTAGCACAAGGACATGGTGGTGAAGAGTTTGAAGGCATGTGCTGCTTGGATCTTACTGATCATTCAGCTTCCATCCATAGGCAACTACAACAGCTACAGGATGGGTTACATGCCCTGAAAGAAGATAGTGACCCCATTGGAAGTTGGTTCGCCAGCTGGGGCATCACCGGATGGTTAAGGTCTCTTGTGCTAGAAGGGGGACGGACTTTACTTACAATGTTAATTGAGATGACAGTTTAAGTTGTGTGTTATCTTATCCAAAGCCTGGTTTGTGCAAAAAGAGAAAGGGGGAATTGTTGCTGTATTTTATATATTGGTAAAGGTCTGTCTGCACAAACCAGCCTCTGGGATAAGTCGCAATATTAAAGGCTAAAATCCTTGAAACTTGCCTGTAGAAAGTAAAACAATGTTCCTGTGTACAAGGATAAGAATGTAAACTTGTGTGTACTAGCCAATAGTAGCTTGCTCTGCCCGCAGACCCCGTAGAACCCTATAAAAGGTGTGCTAAAGATAGAAATAAACAGCATTCACAATTACTTCCGTGAAGACTGGTGAACAGCTCGGGGGTCTTTCAACACTAGAGCCACACACAAGCTCCCCCACACTCTTGAAAAGGCAAAGGGATGGTTTTGGCCTGACATTCTCACAAACACAACCCAATCCAAAGGACCTTCTTACAGGAACAGAAGCAACAGAAGACAATGCAACCCACCATACCCCCATTGTTTGTGAAGTAAAGGTCTGTGCCAGCCCCAGACTTAGAGTATACTTCTAAAGTTTAGTTTAATACGCAAAAGGAAACAGTCAGTTTTGATTTGCTCCTCATTTTTGAGGGGGGAGAGACAGAAGAAACCCACTGACCCCATCTTTTAACAGAGAAAGAAAATGGTTTTAGAAAGCAAATTACCTGTAATCTTTATTTGAACAGGGAAGTAAACACATATGCAACTAATTTTGATGCTGTAATTGTGTGTCACTGCACAAGAAATCATACTTGCACTTTAAAGTGTACCATTAATGGGCAAGTTCCATTTTTCACCCAGAAATACATTCAATAGCTTGGATAAGAAGGAAAGAAAAATCCATAAAACAAGGTGTCAGAAAGAGGTTAAAAATAAGATTTATTTGCAAATCACTTTGACAATAAACTAGTATCTCTGAGTTGTGCATTTTGGGGACTACAAGACAGTTCCTTTGTGTTCCGAGATTTCCATTCGCATGCAGTATGGGATACCTCTAGAATTCAAAATGAACTTCGAAGTGTCCTTTTTTGCCTTGCTGTGCTGAGAAATTCATTCCACAGGCACACTATAGGAGAGTCAAAGTCTTTGTAATGAGAAGCTGTCACAGGAAACACACAACAAAACCACCTTGGCTTAGAAAGAAAACTCACTTGGGAGCTGTTCCACATTTGTTTAACACAGTGTTAAGCACTTCAAGATTCTCACAAGAAGTACCTGGTGCTGTATGAAAAAAAATACCATAAACCCAAAGCAAAAAGTCAAGAGCCCAAAACTTAATAAATATCAACATCTACCCTTATACCTCACAGGTATACTGAAACCTTATATTTCTTTCTGATGTACAAATGCACAACACATCTGGTTATGACCCAAGTTCCTTCTCTTGGAAGCTGATAAGCTGTCTCATGTAAAAAAAAAAAAAAAAAACAAAACAAAACCAAAATCTCAAGATTTAATAGTACTAACTGTATACAAATGAGCTCAGGACAAAGGCAATACAAAGTAAGATTTACCTTGTTGTCTGACTGTGTGAGGGCAACCTCTCAGTCATAGTTAGAATCGCAGCAGCAGAAGACAGCAGCATCTTCAGGACATTCCTTCAGTGTATGCCTCCCCTTCTCCCTGACCTTCCTCTCTCTGCCCTTCCATAAAGCCTTGAAATTTTAATTCTGAAGTCTGTTTTAATCAGATGACATCAGAAGCGTATTCTGAAACCCCTACGTGATTAAGTCTTGAGCAGACCACAAGTAGTATACCTTGCATTGCGACGAAGTTGAAAGGTAACAGAAAGAAATGAGGTAACTAAGAAAGAAAATAAAAGAATCTGACCCATATCTATTTTTAATATAGTTCTAGAAAATATTAATTTTTATAACAAAGAGGAACTTTTTTCTCCCTCTTTATGAAACTCAAAATATTCCCAATATTTGACACTGGAAAAATAACTTTTATCTCCTCCCATATATGCAAGAAAAGATGTCCAGATGTCATTGTTACCAGTTCAAACAAAGCATTAATGAATGCATTAGATCATTCAAATGTAAACAAACATGGTTTATATATATATACATATATATAAATGCAAAAAAAAATTAAATTTAACAACTACTGGTGATACAACCAGTTCATGTAAGTATTATGTAAAGTTGGAGAGAATAATAATCTTAGAAACATTGTTTTATTTGGGCTACTTTAGAAAGACTAAAATAGTATTCACCTGAAATCTCTTCATCATCAATGCAGATACCACCTCTCCACAGGGGTTTCCCTGTACCTTCTGGGGAACCTAGGCCATTTTTATGAAACAAATATACTTGGGTCATTTCACATCAACTGTTACTGAAATGATTCTGTGAGCAAGGCCCAGAATCAAGCAATCTCTCCAAGCTGAACAGCCTAGCTAACATCAAACTGCCACCTGCACAAGCTCTAAACTAAAAAGGGATAAATATTTCAGAACAAATCTGATGTCAACAAACATTGCCCCGTTCAATCCAAACTCAGCCATATTTTAGAGGACAGTGAGAGTTTGCGATGGGTAAGCTGTAATTCCACCGGGTATGTTCTCCCATTACACAGCTCCAAGAATTCCTTCTTCTAAGCCTGGTCTATCCCAATATTTGTGGTGTAGTCAAATGTAAATATTGTTGAGGTTTACTCACATCTGATTTGGGCCAGGGTTAAGCTGCAGGTGCCAACATCCTGCATCAGCCTCTCCTGGTTTCACCTGGGAGAGAGCTGATTTTCTTCCCAGTAGCTGGTACAGTGCTGTTTTTTATTTAGTATCAAAATAATGTTTGTAACACACTGGTGTTTAAATGTAAACACAGCTTAGCAACAGCTAAGGCCTTTTCAGATTCTCACCTCACCTTGTGGGGCTGCACAAGGAATTGGGAGGGGACACAGCCAGGACATCTGACCCCAAGTGACCAGCAGGAGGTCCCAGAGTATATGGTGTCATGCTCAAAATATCAACTGGGGCAAAAGTTGGCTGGGGGTCATTGCTCAGTAACTCTCTGGGCATCAGTCATCAGGTGGTAGGCAATTGTGTCGTGCCTCACTTGTTTTATGTATTTAGTCATTATTACTTTTGTTTTCCTTTCTCTTCTGTCCTATTAAACTGTCTAACACACGAATGTCACCTTTTTTTCCCCTCCAAGTCTATCCCCCCCATCCCATTTGGAAGGGGGGTGGGCAGTGGTGGGGTGCAAGTCAATGGTTAAGTGGCATTTAGCTGCCTGCTGGGTTAAACCATAACACAGCTCCTAGAACTCATGGGTTTAGCAGAATTTTCACAAGACAACACTTGCCACATCTCATTGAGATTCCAAAATTTGGAAAATTCCTATCCTGAAAATCCACTATTTGCTGAGAAAGTATCGTATTTACTGAGAATTTTAATTAGCTCTGAGCATACCATCTTTAATGGCAACACTTCAAAAAGACCCCATTCAGTCCTACAAGCTTTTTTTTCTCTTAAACATTCAGGTCTGACACCAAGAAATACTCAGAGCTTGTTTTAGGAGAAGTCCTGTACAAGTGATCCAGTTTTTAGATGTCATTAAATGTTTTGGCAGAATAATGTAATATGAAATCTGTAATACACTTGCTAATGTTTATAATCCAATGACTACTTATAAGAAGTATTATTGCATTTTAAGCGTAAAAATATAAGAGGTTCTATAAAGAAAATTAAAATAGCATTAATCTAATATTGATAGTCATATAAAATAACTCACAATTATGTAAATTTCCATATTTAATTACACATTTAAAAATAAGTTATAAAAATAATTAAGCTTCTTTAAAACCCCTAGGATATTTTCTTTTAGGAGTTTTTACTCATATCTACTGATTGTCTAGCATCAGCCACAGCTTCTGGTACTCGAACAGTCATATCATTCATTGATTTCTTCAAGCAGATTTGGCAGCCTAAACGTGATCTGTGGGGAAATAGGACGTTATTGTTAGTTCTTGCCCACCAGCAATCTAACAGCATTTACCCTCTTACATCTCCAACACTCAGCCACCCCAAACTGACCATGAACTAGGAACAGCCACTCTTGTGCAGGGCCTTAATCCAGCACAGGAGTGAACCACGTGCATCAGCACAAGGATCCGTGTGGCAATAGCCAGGATTTACGGCCAGAACAGAGCTCGGCACACTGCAAAGTCCCACAGCTGAGTACTTCCTTCTCACTGAGACAATGCAGAACATGGGTGACCCTTCCCTTTTCAGTGGGTCACTGAGGTCACTCCAGTGCAGGGAGTGATGCTTGATCTCTCAAGGGACGTCTGGCACCTCTGAAGAGATAAAGGCAATGAATCTGAATGAAAGCCTCAGAGAGAGCAAAGCCTGGCCCCTCCATCCAGAGTTCAATGTTCTCCAACGACAAAAGCCAAGACTGGGTGTAAGCCAGGAAAGTAAAGTGAAAAGACAAACGTAGGAAGGAGAAGGATAGAACACGCAAGGCACTGGAGGAGATGTTGCCTTTCGTTTCTATACCTATCATTCAGCACGAGAAAACCAGATGTTGCACACAAGCAATTAAAACCAGAAGATATAGTACCACAACAAAACTCTGCAGACATCACAAGCTGCTTTTATTGCGGGGATAACTTTAATTCAATGTCCATGTCTCAGTATTTAAGTACAGAACACTAAAGACATCAGCAAGGATGGGCAATGTTCTGTAGCACCAGTCCCTGGCAAGACACTTAGCTAGCTGACAGCCTGTTTCAAGAATGTAAAGTTGCCACTCTTTTATCCACCTCTCCATATGCATTTATCGGCACTTGCCTTTTAACTCCAAATGCCGTTTTCTATTGCTCAAGAGCATAAAATCCTTGTGCATGTTTTCACAGGCAGGTGATATGACCACATCACTGTAAACAAACCTTACTCCTCCCTGTGTTTTCCTAAGTCTTTCAAAAGAATGCTCACACTAATTAAAACCTAGCACAAATCACTTTTACATCATGCTGTTGATCACATACTCTTACCAGGCAGCTTAATACTTCTTGTTAAAAGATGGCTGAGTTTTTTTAACCGATTTCTTAGCCTTTACAGGGCCTTTGTTCTTATGCTGTTGCACCTCAAAGTTTAGCAAACAATTTCTAGACCTAAATAAACTGCATGAACTGCAAGATCTTTCATCACAGTGACTTATATGAAGAATTCCCATATCTGCTTCATTCCTCTACAAAAGCTCTGTTGAATTCTTTCCTTACCCATAGCAGACAGTATAGATTAGAAACAGCTCACAGAATGACAAGTGTTCTTCAGTTCCAAATCTCACTTTAAAATGTTGAATCTCATTTTAAAAACTGAGTTCCCACCTTCCTAGTCCTTTGATGTGGAAGCAATTTCAAACCAACTAATTAAACCTTACAGACAGCAGTTCAGAAATGTCAATGAATTTCTGTAGAGCTCCTGGGTGAATGCTACCTGGCCATTACTATTTGTTACCACTCTAGTTTATTTATCTGCAGTAATACTACTTCTGCGGACACACCGGTTTGAAAGACCACAGAATAAGTCAGGACGCCCTCTGCAAAGAAACCTTCCAGTACATAGCCCATAAAACCTCCAGAGATAACAATGAAAAAGAAATTTTGCTTTTATGTTATCTTTTTCTATTTTACGTGCACTTCCTACATCACCCATTGGCTCTGCATGTAGACAGAGTTCCCTGCTTCTGATAGGTTAGAAACAAAAATATTTGCCTACTTTTTGCAAGCTGCTTCTCATCTTATTTTTTGCTTTACTATTCTTATTTTAACTTACCAGGGCTTGCACTCCCCCGTCTTACTACTTTCTACTGTTCTGCAGCTAATCAGAACAATTTAATTTTAACCTAATTAATCCTTCTTTTTAAAAAACATGAGCTTTCATGGCAGTTGCTGGCTGAAACTTTTCCAAATACAGAGTCACTGACAAGAAAAAGCTGCTATGCTTGTACCTATGACAGAACATAGAAGTTCATCTCCATTACTCAAATTTACATCAGCACAGGAGTCCAGTTAACCTGCAGCAAATATCAGCCACTTAAAGCTCTGTCTTTCAAAAGAGCCATCCTCTCACATAAATGGAAGGTCCCTGGCCACAGGAAGAACATGTGATGCTAGAAAAACCTAATAGAAGTACCAAACACCTTCAGAGGGTGTAAAACTTAATTTGCTATGAAGAACTTAGAGGGGAAAATAGAAACATTTAAACAGAGAGCTCTGGCGTGCTACTATTTTACAATTCTTCAGTAAAATCTCCTTGCTTTAAACCTTCACTTAAAAGGTAGCCAAAGAAAAAGTTTTTTATTAGATCATATGCCTCCTATTCAGGAATTATTCTGGCCCTGAACCCAGAAGTTACTCTTTATAATGGTAGGCTTAATAGGCTTATGTTTTTTTTTTTCAAAACTGAGAATGAGTTTTTGTGAGACAGGAAAAATGTTAAAACAAAAGAAGCTCTAAGTTTCTTGTAGCTTGATTTCTTTGCCTTTCCAACCTCCCACAAATGTTCAGATTTGGCTGAAGTGAGAAAGTGTATTGTAATGTAGAAATGAGTATAGGATTCCTTTTACTGATATAAGGAGATAGACAAATTAATTCAGAGTACTTCTTTGCAGAGACAAACTCTATGCTATACAGAACATAATTGGAAAGATTCTCAAAGACTTCAACAAGCAGTTCTGCTGAAACATGAAGGAAAGGGCTTAGGAAACCTCACAAGGCACAGCTGTCTACTGTCCGTGTGAGCATGTTCTGTGATAAAGGCTACTTGTGCACCAGCAAGTACCACAGCCCACCAGGAATGGGTCTGTGATGAGGATTAACATCCTAACTACAAGATGTGTGGTAGTGGGCATGATGCAGAACAGAGCTTTACTTTAGAGTACCTCTATTCTAATCCTAATACCTACCAGCAGTTAGAGCACTCTTCAGGATCAGTTTCTCCCAAAGGGAATCTGGTTTGTGTGCACAAGGAGCACTGTGATATGAGTCAAAGCATAGCAAGTTTGTACACGGACATATCTCTACACTGTTTGTCCTAGAGAAGGCTTGAAGGAAGGATATTTACCACAATCAGCAACATACATAAATACCAAAGAGGCTGGAGAAGGTGGAGTCTCTATCCTTGGACAGATTCGAAAGCTGTCAGGACATGGTGCTGGGCATCAGATCTAGGTGGTCCTGCTTAAGCAGGGAGTTGGACCAGTTGACCTCAAGAGGTCCCCTCCAACCTCAACCCTTCTGTGACTCTCTGAAAAGACGATCTGACCAAAACCTAAAATACTGACAAACACATTCATAAAATATATTAACTAGCTACAGACTAACAAGGGAGAGAAAACAGAAGGGTCCAAGAGAAACAAGAATAAGAAAATCCACACACAGGACAGCAGTGGCAGAGCTTTTGTGAAAACAACTGGGTTTCCAGTCATACTTTAGAGCTAACATTTCTGCACCAAACCCCTCTGAAGACCAAGTACTGGCAACTGACATTTTTCAGTGACAAAAACAATACTGACATCTTTTTAATACTAATTCAGACAAACAACATTTAAACATGGCAGTCCCATTTGTGTAACAGAATCCAGCTATTCATTAAAAGCTGATTGAGGTGCTCCAAGAACATTGGACTGCCGCACCTGCAAACCTTTCTTCCCATTCTTGGAGAAGTAATGTAGGAAAGTGTTATGTTGCCTTACGTTTCTGTGAGGCCATATGCCAGGTCCAGCATGTCCATCTCTTCATCAGTAATTGCATCTAGTTTCTCAAATATGTGGTCTTCAAATATTAAATGACAAGTTGAACAGGCTAGCGTTCCTTCACATGCACCTAAAGAAAAGTAAATCAAGATAACAAAAAATCCAAGTTTCAAATTGCAGCTGAATTTTAAAAGAAATCCTGCATATGCTTGTTTCATACAAGAAGTCTCGGTTAATCAGCAAAATTAATGTTGTGTATTTCCACATTCATATACCTACTCTGTATTCAACTATTAATAGTAGTTATATTATATAGTAATATAGTAGTATAATAGTATTTCTACAATTACTATAGCATTTAAGTAAATCTTAGTGCTAAGTAATCAGTTAAAAAATGCTTAAGTAATTCCCTTTCCACCATTAAAAGAAAGAATAGCTTTCTACCATAAGAATGCAAAAGCAGACAATGCTGTCAATCAACACTACTTCATTTATTTCCAATGCTGATCCTTCTTATCTCTCTCTTTCCCATGGTTTTGAGAAGGTTTTCTCTAAAAGTTCAACAGCAGACACCTGCTACACAAAAACAATTACTCAGAAGTACAGGGAGGAGGGATTTTTTACCTATTTCTTCTCACAGTACTAATTCACAGCAACAAAGGTAGTCAGGCTGGAGAGAGACAGCTTACATGGATTACGAAGTGTTCCAGTGCGAGTCAAGGACCTAACAAGTTGCTGGGGCAGAGTAGCACAAGCACCAACTCCACCTACCTGCTACAGCAATTAGGTCACCACAGCACAGTAGAAGTTTGAACTCAAAAAAATTTGTTTCTGTCACTGAATTGGGCTGTGTCTTGGGCTGGCATCAAGCTCTCCACAGTGTTGAAAAAGAAATATGTAACATCAGGAAGAAAGGGAAAGCTAAATACTGTAGAGATTACAAACCTCAGGCTCTAATTTAAATTTATAGAAAAGAAACAGATAACACATTAGCCAATCTTCACTTATTTACTTATTTCTAGGGAGAGCAAAACCAAAAATATTGTGACCACATCACCTTTGTAATCATATGGAAATAAAGGAAGAAAGGTTGTATGTACAACCACTGCTACGAAAAGTAGTGGGACTCATCATTAGACCATGAGAACCAGAAAGCACTGTGCTGCAAGAGTACCAAAAGCATATATTCAAAGTGATCAGGACACCGTAATACACTCGATTTTTAAATTATATCATGTCTTCAAATACACATGAAAAAGCAGAGTTTAATTAATTTAATTATTTAATTAATTTAATTTATAACATAAAATTTGTCATATCAGCAGCTTAGGGATCGTTAATGTTGGGGAAGTGAGGGAAGGGGTGAGGGGGGAAGAACACTGACCAGTCTCTTTGAACAGTGGAAGGTCTTTCCACAATTATAAAACTGGCAATAACAAATGAATTGAGTGCAGCTGAATCATTCAGTAGATCTGTAACCCTTTACACAGTTATTTCTATTATTGTTAATGCACATGGGATGCCCCCTAGTGATAGAAGCAAATAAGCAGGATTTACATTTTTACTTTTCCCTCATTACTTTTTTCTTAAACACAGAACATACATTTTTACTATGTTATTTCTCTGCCCCAGTACGATGTTTTCATTAGCAAGTGGTTATTAAAATGGGACTGGCACATATTATAATTAGACTGTTACAGTATTCCAAATTTTCAGTTTGGTTTCCTTTTATTGACACCATTGCTTTTTCCCACTTTACCACAATGCTTTAACACAGCTGATACTGACACAGGGAACATTTACTGTAGAATACAAGCAGACCAGCCATAAGCCTAAATGAGTCATTTAATAAGTGATACATAAAGCTAGTTAAAGGCATTACAAATTTGAGACAATTTTTCTTCCCCAGATATATTCAACTCCAGACATAAAAGATGTCTCAGATACTCATAAAATATAAGATTTTAAATATTATCAAAGATTTTATTACTAGTAATAAAATTTATTTGCACATAACTAAAACACATCAAATTTCAAACTGCTACAACACTCTGCTGGGTTTTTTTTTCACCAATTGCTTCACATGCATTCAGTTCTGAAAATTGTACTACCACTTTCTGCTTTAGTTCTATTAATTTCACAGCTCATGTTCATATAAATACCTTCCCACAGTATTTAATTGCAATTACCTAATACCTTTGAGCAGTGTGGTCTAGTGGTTTGAGCAACAAGGGCTGGTCGAAGATGCCCATGGCAGGGGGGGTTTGGAACTGGTCTTCAAGGTCCCTTCCAAACCAAACCATCCTATGTTTCTAACTATGGAAAGTGCAAAAGTTCGAAGAAATAGAGAGAAGTTGTAACTGCCTCTTGTTTTGATTTTAAACAGAACTTGTATCAAGTCAGAATTTCACAAGGTCTCCTTTACACCAGTTCTTTAATAAGAATTAAACTCTTTGCTCTTCCCTGCTGACACTGATTTTGGCTGTTTCTTTCACTTTGCACTCCTCAGTTATGGATACGGTGCTACAAAAAGCCTGATAATAAATTGAAACAAACTGGCGCTACAGAAGTAACCAGACACTGTTAGAAATACACCAGCTCTGTGTTTCCTCCAGAACAGAACCTTTCAGCTCAGAAGAGGTCTGCAAGTGGCATGTTTCAGACTCCACTTCGACAGCACTCTGTGCATATTCCTCTCTTTAATACTCAAGCCAAGATCATCCTAAGTATTTCTTTAAAACTTGAACCAAAATATTCTATACACCTGCAGAAAGAAAAAAAGGGGAGAAAATCCAAGCAAAGTACAGCTAGGTTTTATCTATAAAATATTAATTGACAGTTGGACTCAATGATCTTTTCCAATCTAAATGATACTATAAATATTTATGCATAAAGAGAACATAATTTCTAGACACTGAATAAAATATTCAATTAATCTACTTACCAAAACCATCTATGTCTAGATTATTGTCAACAACAACATCCAGCAGTGAATCCCCAGGTTTTCCCTTGGCTGTTAGTTTGTCACCATCACGGTTTATGAAATGGACAGTTATTTTATCTTCTGAGCTGAAAAAGAAAATTATATAATACAATTAAAGAATTCTAGAATTTTTTAGTGCTTTAGAATTGATTGAATACTACAAAATAATAGTTGAAACTACTACTATCAACTCCAAGAAAAGGCAAACCTAAGTTATTGGCTTTTAAAAGCTGTAACAGGTACAGGCTTTTACTGCTGTACATTGAAAAAATACCATGAAAAATAAGAACAAAAAAAACTTGGTGTTCGTTTTGTCACTACAAACTATATGGGATACAGATGTTTTGCCTTTCACCAAAGACAGTTTATTTTAGGCACAATATTTGTATTTTTAACAAATAAGGAAGCTTATTATAAATGTTTCTCTCCCCAGCTTTCTGTGAACTCATGCTTTGTATTTATGAATTTTTTGATGTTCTTATAATTATCACTTAGGACAAATTCTAAATTTTCCCATTTCTGCTTAGAGTTTTAGATATTTTACTTTATTAGTTCTGAAATTTAATTCTTCTCTCCTCCCACAAATGGAAATACTCCAATAGCATTCTGCTGGTTTTAGGCACAGACTCTCTGAGGAGTTCATCTTGTAAATATTAATTCTAGTGAAGTACAAAGTTTTTACTGGTTTCAAGGAAAGAAGGTTTTATATTTTTTGGGGTTTTTTTCCACACAATTGTTTAGTTAATAAAAAATTCACTTGCAGTCTGCACAAAAATGTCTTAAGACTAAAGCTTTTAACATTAAAAAATTAATTTTTTGCATTCCATATTATTTCACATGCAAATCAAAGCAAAGCTTTAAATATACTAATAAAATACAGTATGTTCCATTTTAAACAGACTATTTTCTTTCCTACACTAAGTGAGCAAAACAAAAACCTTTTGGATGGACAGTGAAGAAATCTGCCAAGAGATGACAGATAAAAACAGAACAAGTGAAAGCTAATTCAAAAATTTATGTTTCCATGTGAAATCCATGTTTAAGAACAACATGCTTCATATTACCCATACTCTTAGTAACAGTGGACCCAGAGTCATTTATTTCATACAAAAAATATTCAAACTTTAAAATCAAGTCACCCCTGGAAAACGCTAACATGTGCATCTGAATACTAAAGAAAAAGTTTGAATGTGGCCATGCTGAAAAAATCAGTGAACAAATTGTTTTTGTAACTGGCTGTAAAACAATGTGTTTTTAGCAATCTGACTCCCAGCCTGTTATGAAACAACAACAAATGTTTGTTGCTGTAGACTTCATACACTTGCCACAACTCTTAAGCTCCACTGGGACCAGTGTGCTCCGTGATGATTCATTATGATATCATGTTCAATTCTTTTCCTACCATCCCTCAATCCCCTCTCTAGAAGCCAGCCACAAGCTACTATTAACTGGAAATTCATTCCAAAACTATAATTGATAACAAAGGGTTGACCTTGTTGACCTGCAGAATGCAACTGAAGCACATGCTATAAAAAAATTCAGAGTCTTAAGGACATATCTTTACAATATATGATTTATGTTTCACAGTCACCTGTGATATCCAAGGACCACTACCAAACCATTCTGTGGGAGTTTAAGAAACCACTCTGCTTTTCATTTTGCTCCTCGGCTATGTTAACACCTCCCACAGCAGAACCAAGGAAACAAACACCCACTTAGATAAACTAGTACAAAATTCATCACCTCCTCTGGGAGTTTTAAGACTGATGAGTTTAGATTGCATCTGGAAAGGTACAGATCCACATTCTGAGAGCCTAAGATAACATCTGACAGTGTAATTTTAAACTGCCTCAAAAAGCCCTTCCAGAGCTCAAAGTACACTCTCCTTTGATGAAAGGTTTGTGTTAACGTGACAAAAACAACGCTGACAGGAGACACAATGCAACATGTACTTGCATTTCTGGGTATACTCTGCCCAAGGTATAGACATGGCAAGTACTAAGTATTTATTCCAATATCTTAAACATACTCTATTATAGGATTAGGCACTCACAAGTACCATGGACCAAACACCAAGATGTCTAGGCATCCCTTAGATCCCTGGAACTTCTGCAAATGACGAGTCAACTCCCTCCCAGTTTTCAAAACACACTTGAAATTGTCTTCACCTGTGGTTACACTGGAATCTGATAAAACACCACAGTGCCACGTGAGGAACAGTCCCACCCCCGCTCCTTTGTTCCTCCTCTCTCCAGCGCTCACACTGTCCCGCAGTAACCTCGGTCTGGGAATGCACTGGCTGAAAGCCAAGGTCAATAACCCCACAGATGTCAGAACCAGCAGAGTCAGATCCGGCCCTTGGATGAAATTTACACCAGTTTGGAACGGCTGTGTTATTGCAACGACACAATCTGAGTTTCATGATCAGATTAAACCAATCTCTTCACAGTATAAAAACATGGGTTTGGGTGATCCCCGCCCCAAATCATTTAGCCGTCATCCTTACACCGGTATTCCCACAAGTCAATTCCTTTTGCTAATGGTGGATGAAAATCAACCACAAAAACAAAGTAGACCAAACTGGACCATAAAGCAAAACTGACAAAAGTGCCACTGCTCAAAACAAAAACAAGGAAACAGCAGTAGCCCCACCTTGTCAGTAGGGGCAATCTGATATTTGCTTCAGCCAGCTGAGGACATGCACTGTGGCTGTGCATGCCTCATGGTGTGCCATGCAGCAAGGGGACAGATGGAAGCATCACCACCAGGTCACTGACTTTTCTTAAAAACTGACACAATAATTAATCTTTCAACAGGATGTAATACACCTTGATTTATAACTGAAACTACAGTTTATTTATCTATGTGACGTTAGAGTCAAGTCTTTCAGTAGATCTGGTTTTTTCTGCTATTGCCACCTTCTATCACCCTTCACTTAGCCAAAATATTTAGAAGAAAATATTTCTGGTGCTATACTTGGTGAAAATACTGTGTGTATGCAATAATCAGACTAGTCAAACATTCAAAACACATACTGCACCAATCTCCTCAATGACTGGGGGATACATTACAAAAAGGAAAAATCTCACCCACATGAAACAATATTTAGAGTTTATAAATTTCATCTAACATGGGTTTTGCCCACCCAGACATCGTTTGCATCAAAAAAACACCAACTGTCCAAATACCAAGATGCTGCAAACCAGTCACAGGCATTTAACATGAAACACAAGCCAGGTCTATGCATGAATAGCCTGGGGATTATCAGGAAAAACACAATTTATTTTGTGTTATCTGCATGAATATTCCAATTCATGCTCAAATAAATGCTTTTCACCAGGTGTAAAATACAATTAACAAAACATAAAAACTTTAACCTCGTATCGCACATGGTGAGACCAGCTCTGTTATTTGCAGATCTTTTAATAAACAGAAAATCCATCAGCCCTAATTGCCTGAGGAGTTCCTTGAATTAAACTATTATACAGGCCTCAATCAACAGAAGTTTTAAATCTGAACTGATCTTTAAAGCACGCAATTATTATGCTGTGCACCAGAAACATTGTACAGCTAACCAGACTTGTACAAAAGAATTCTGAAATAACTACTGTTCACCATGAAATTAAAAGGAAGGATAAGGGATAAAAAAGGAGTAAGAAAAAGGAGGAAATGGAAATGAAAACATAACACCTGATGCTCCACTGAAATCTTTGGAAACCTCTGCTCACAGGAATCACCTCAGGTAATGTTTTGTATAGTGAGGTTTTAATCCTCTAGACAAATACAGGTAATTTTACATGCATAAACGATGATGTATCTTTTTACTGAAATAACACTGGCTGATTACATAAAGGTCAGGAAGTGGTTCTCACATATGATGCCCAGAGAAAGTAACATGCATAAATGGAAAGAACAGTAATACACAAGAATTTTTCTTTTTTCCCAACTCACTCAGCCAGGTTAAGACACTGAGTATACAAACAACACTTGTTTGCATGAGCTTTTTTGCTGGCGTGCTCACAAAATGAATGTAAATAAATTCTATTCTGTATTCAGCCAGTTTGTGAAAGACATTAAGGAGAACTGAGGAGACATGAGGGGAATTACAGCTCTCACATTACTATAAGGTAAGGAAATGCTTTCCCTTTATAGGATTCTTTTTTCAATTCTTTTCATACCTTTTAAAAAAACTTGGCAATACGTCACATCTTTATTTTTTTAAATAAAAACTGCTAATCAGGGACCTCAAAATCAACTGATTACCAGCAGGATCCCCCAGAGAAGAGACCTGACTAGCAACTTACTCATCTCATATGGAGTTCTAGGCTAGAAAAGTCTCTCTCTCTCTCTCCATATTAAAAGTATCTGCTGGAACAAAGTCATAGATCACCTGCAGGAAAGTTTAAAAGCAAACTGTTGAGACAGCTTTGATGTCGAGGGCACTATCCCAATCTTCTGGAAACAGGCCAGGCTACACCCCTGATGCTGGGCTGCTGATTGTGGGTCCCGTTTCAAGTCCAGAAAACTTCTCTGGTAACCAAGTACATCAGGCCTTTAAAACTTCTGTATTTTAAATACTGAAAGCTGCAGACTCTGACCATCTTTGAATACACAAACAAAAGGCAGAGGGTGGTGCATCAACAATCTATGACCACCTGTAATAAACATCAAAACTACAGCTGTGGGCTGTGTAATATTAAATGCCCACAGATGTAATGCATTCTGAAACACCTACTCACACATACTGGTGAGGAGAGGGGGAGCTCTGCACATTTACATTGGACCACAGAATCAATTAGGTTGGAAAAGACCTCTGAGATCATCAAGTCCAAGCTATGACCAAACATGACCATGTCAACTAAACCATGGCACTGTGTCACTTCCAGTCCTTCCATGAAGAAAGATGCAAAAGTGCTCTTCAGTACAGAAAAACTATACCAAAGGCAGAAGACACTTTAAGTATTAGGATCTCTCTGATACGTGCTGTACTTCTACCACAAGCCCAGCCAGACTATCACGGGAAAGAAAAAACCAACAAAACCAAACAACAGAGAAAAACAAGTGGAACTTTAGTAAGGTCATAACCTCTTAGAAAACCAGTCTGAACACCAGGAATGCTGGTTTACTGTTCCATAGCGTTTACAAGCCACTTCAATGGGGTTCCAGGTCACACCGACCCTGAGCCTCACCCACAGCGGGTGCCGGTGCGGGGCCTCGCCCGAGCCAACCCACAGCGCCGGCACAGTTCTACACAGTCCTACGGGGCACAGCTCGGCGGAAGGGCCCCCCTAGACCGCTTCGGTGCCGCCGCCAAGCAGCCGGTGAGGGGCGGAGGGGGCCGGAACCGCCAGGGGCACCGCGGGAAGGTCATCCCGCGTCAGCCCGGTTCGGGCGGCCCGTGCCACAGGCAGCCGCTGGCCCCGGCTGCCCGCGGCGCCGAGATCCGGCCCGGTCCGGCTCCACCGGTCCGCCGCTCCGGGGAGCCCGCCCGGCGCCTCACGGCTGTGACCCTCTTACCTGAGCACCGCCCGGGCAGAGAGGCTGAACGGCCGCGCTGCCCGCCCGACAGCGGCAGCGCTGCCGCAGCCCGGTCTCGGTCCGGCTGCCGGCGAGGCGGAGAAGAGCCAGCGGCGGGAGGAAGCGGCGGCGGCCCGGAGGAGCCGCGCCGGCCCCGGGGAGGCCATGGCGGCCATGGCGGTGGGACGGGAGCGCTGGGGCTCGGCGGGGCGGGGGCAAAGTCCCGCCGCTTACGCTTACAGCGCGCGCGGCGGCGATTCTCGCAGCCGTTTACGCCGCGCGCGGCCCGCCCCCACCGGCGTGGCCCCGCGGTTACGCAAAGTGCGCGGCAGCGCGCGGAGGGGCGGGGCCGGCGCGAGGGCCCCCCCCCGGCCCCCGCCGCTGCCCTCAGGTGCCCTCGTGCTGTCCCGCACCGCCCCCGTCCCCGGATCCCAGCGCTGGCTCTCCTCTTCCCGGGAGAGCGGAGCCATGGAGCCCAGCGTGTGCTGACCCTCTGCCCGGCTGGGCCCACGAGGCTTCTCTTGTCACAGCAAGCACTCGGCGCTGGAACGCGGCGGAGGAGTCACTCAAAGGGTCGTCACTATTTCCCAAATGCCCCTTTGGGAGGCCTGGCCCGTGGAGGAGTGGGCACCAGCTCCGGGCTGGGCGATGCTATTTGGAGTTCCCTTGAAACAGCTTATAATAATTGTGGAACTCCCTGGGAAATGGAACTGGCAGCTGGGAAGTCTGAGCCGTCCACCTATGCTATCCAGGCAGGATGATGGAGAAATTCCCAGTTCTTCATTACCGTTTCTTATGACAGAGGACCCAACCTCTAAAACACGGCTGTCATCAAATGGACAGCAGTACTGCTGTCAGAGGGTCTAACTAGGGATGAACGTCCATGGTGCATGGCTCAAGTACCAGTATGTGCCACAGGAAATTAGGAAATTTCCTGAGCAATCACAGACTGCACATGCAGGCTTAACTTGTCTCTGGTAGTTTTGATCAGATGGTTATGTAGATACCCTTCATTCTACCACACCCTGACTGGAGAGTTCTGAGTGAATAAGGAAGAAAAGTAACAATTACCTGGAAACAATTCTTTCAAAGTGGAATGGAAATGAATGAGGCAAAAGAGGAGGGAATGATACCTCTGATACACTTGAGGTTGCAAAGGTAATTCTTGATGGCTTATAATTTTGTTGCATCAGAATAAGGTTGAAGAGGGAGATAATATACTATATAATTTGAACTTCTGTATTTTCTTTAAGGACAAGAGCAGGTTCTGGTGGAAATGTCCTGGTGGAATTGTCAAGAGCCTCCAAACTGTCTGTCCATAAACCAAGTGATCCATAAACCACACTGAACTCATTTTCATTTGGTTTCACTCTTTTGCACCACAAGCAAATGTGGCCATGAATAATGCAGTTTACTTCAGTGCTGTCACTGCAGCATGGGGTTAATATATACATAATCTTAAGGTGGTATAGAGCTAAATACATACAGTTCCAGCTGGATGTCTAATATTGTAAAGCCAAAAGAGCACATGATATAATCTAGTCTGACTTCAACCAGATGGCTGCTCATTGTAAATTAATGATTGATGCAGGAAATAAGCCTGAAAGGGACCCTCTGTACCTTCTAATGTAAACCTTTGCTGTCACATTCAACTCAAGCAACTAAATAAAGAAGAATTTATCCATTTCTTAGAGTTTTCTTACTCTTTTTAATTGCACTGAAAAACAGTCCCAAAATTTCATTCCTTGGAAGTGGAGAAAGCCTAATTATTTATCAATTTTCAAATAATTTCTTTTATTAGTTTAATTCTGAGTATAGAAATATTTATGTCAGTTTTCCACAGCCAGAGCTGCTCACAAATTAAAACAATTTCTCTTCGTGACATTCACCCAACATTTGTTATACCCCCTCCAGCCCTTTTATTTTAGCCACTGTTCTTACTAGTCTCCTTCCATAATACAGGAAACCCTCACTGTTATCCCACTGACCCATTTGTGCGTATGTTAGTTTGAATTCCCCGTTGTTAAACACGGGTGACCAGTTAGAACATTCACTTCAGGTCTCATAGAGTGTCCCTAATAATATGACCCTGATACATAGGGTACACAATCCTAGGACTGTGTTTGATCTTTTTTTTCATGTACAAATTAAATTAGTAGCCTCAAATCAGCGAGTTTTAAATCAGTGTGACTAGTCAATAATCCAGAATGCCCTTTGCTGCTTCTCATTAATGAAGCCATCATTAATAGCAAGAGTCCTTGGCTTGCCCAAACTGAACAGAGTAAGGTCTTTGAACTTTGCTTCGGTCTGCTTTCATGTGGGGTTTTCACTCATGTGCCATTTTAACAAAAAAGGCCAATTCCATGAACCTGCTTCCCATGTGTTGGATATGTTCCATAGATCTGTTCTATCCCTCTGACTGCTGTGGCCCTGAGCACATTACCCCTTTGCAGAAGTTTAGTTGTCAGAGTCCAAGGTCAGTTTCTTCACTGATAAGACCAGCTGTAAAAAAAGCCAGCAGCAAGGGCCTGTCTGTCCCTCGAGAGCCACTTTTAACCTGTGGCTTTTCTCCAGCCCTCACCTGTGCCCCAGGGCAGCTGTGCAGCAGCTCTGTTCACACCATCTCACATCTCCTTGAGTCTGGCTCTCATCCAGACTTGCTGACTTGGCATCCTGGCTTGGCCTCAGACCTGCCTTGCCACTGCAGCCCTGCTGGGTGCCCATATGGGCTGTGTCTGACCCCGACCACTGTCTCTTGACCTAATCTTGGCCCTGGATTGCTGCTCCACATCCTGCCTCCTTGTTGATGAAGTGACTGTTTTCACCTGCCTTGGTGGTGTGCCAGAAACTAAGCACACTTAGTTTAGTTTAGTTTAGAAACTTTGCTTCTGTTGCAAAGCAGCCAAATCTTGCTGCTCCCTGATATCCACCACCCCTAAACACAGAGCCCCCCTAATCCCCTCATAATTTCTATATAATGTATAATTTTGAGTGGGCAAGATTGAAGAAAATGGTGGCGTGATTTAGGACTTCTTGATGAAATAAGAGTAGCAGAGTGAAATAAAAGAGAAAAACTACAAACATATTATCTCTCTAAATCTCACATTGGTTGTGTGCAAGTTGCTGTTCCTCATCTCTGTGGGATATACACCCTGATGGTATACACTTTATGAGAGGCACTTCATAATTTCTTGCATGAGTTTTATTTTGTGTAAGTTCTTGCACATTGGGGAACTCTTATTTTTTTTTTAATTTTTTTTTGGTAGGTATGTCCTCCAAGTCTTTACTATTTTTAAGAAGGTACTTATAGGAGGCCAACAAACCACTAGATGGCAAACAGTTTCAGCAAGAAAATTAGTGCATGGGCATTGATACATCCTTTTGTCCTGAGTTTCATCATTCCTTTTCTTGTCCAACTTCGTGAGCTGGTCCTGGAGAGTCTGGGTTGAAGCTGACACAGTCCTTCTTCTCTCTGCCTGTCCCTCTCTTTTGCTGTTGTAGGATTCATGAGTCAGGTGTGGGTGGATTCCTACAGGCGACTTTTGCTGAAACTAACAAGGAAAAAAAAACCAAACCAACCCCCCATCCCAAAAAAAACCAAAACAACAACAAAAAAGCAACAAAAAACCCCACAAAAAATGAAAAAAACAAGAAAGGAAAAAGAAGAAAGCAAGCAGTTTCCAGGAATTTCACTTCCATCAACCAGCCTGGAGACCCACTGTGTAGAACAAGATATATCCTGGGAGAAAAGCAGTCCCAGCTTGCCATCTTGGGTTGTATTATGCTGGTAAGCAAAAGTACCACATAGTCTTTTTTTTGTATAGAATTCCAAGATTCAGGATGATACAAACATAAAATATGTGTATCATTATCAGCAGATAATTTGTGTAAATTACTACAGAGGGTCTCTCTGAGTCCTGTTTTTCTATCAAAAGGAAACATGGAATGAATGCATATTTACAAAATAGAAATTCAAAGGGTTTTTTTTTTAGAAATTTTTGAAAATAAAAAAAATCCACCAAGTAATCAGACTTATATATATCATTAGCTTTTCTGGTCACTCTCAAGTTCTCTGTGAACATGTGTTTTGACCAGGATTTTCCTGGAAGTAAAATTGTGTCAAATTAACTCTTTCAGTTAAAATATTCAGGGAGATCCAGAGAAAGGAAAGAATCCATCCAGCCATAAACCTGTGAAGTTTCCATCTGTAGCTGAGTGGGTGGGATGCAGGCCCTGTTAGTTTCAGCCCAGGAGCATAGAATTTAAGAGCAGTGAGGTCTGAAGCAATCCATGCTTGAGAAAAGAGAGGAATGTGAAGGAGAGGTCATCAATCAATGAAAGATTAATGGACAGGCAAAATGCTCACGGGGTGTTTGTTTTTATTTTGAGAATTATTGTGGTTTGCAAGCCTTCCTGTAAAGGGCAGGTAATCACCAAATACCATGGAAGTGTCCATAGCTGCCAAATGATTCTGTAGCTAAAGGGAGATGTGGGACTTTGTTGGTGAGGATCCAGTAACTGTGGTGCAGGAAGGTGGAAGTTTGTTCAGTTTGCAATTGCTTTATCTTTGCTGGTTTCTCTGTAGCACCTGAAACACAGCCGGAAACAGATAGAAATGTTTGGAGTTTTGTCATTCAAAGAGGTGGCACCCTAGGAATAAGCCAGAGAGCCTGGTGTTTGTTATCCACTCAGAGAGGAAAGCCAAGGAAGTATGTCTGTCTTATGACAGGAAGGTGAATTACTGCCAAGAAATTCTGCTAAACTGTAAATAATCCATTTCTTCAAAGCCATGCTTCTGTCATACATAACAGACTGTGAAATCTGTGTGAGAATTTGCATCTCTGAGTAGGGGATTTTAGAGTTAGTTGGCTGAAAGTCTTGATACTCTTTAATAGAAAGATCCATGAGTTTTTCCACAGGAAAACTTTTCGTACTCTTTTGAATTTCTGAAATTCTTCATGTTATGCATAACATTTCATAGCAACAGTTCCTTCCTATGATAAGTTGAAAAAATATATAGACAGTGTAATGTGAAATTTCCAAAACAAACCAGAATTTGTCAGCACTGAGCTAGAGCCACATTTCCAATTTGATTATTTGTCTCCCTCAACAGGGGACCTTGAAGTGTTTTCAAAATGCAACCATACAATGTCATGGAAGGGAAAAC